TGACAAACCCATCAACATCTGTGCATGCACGTGTGCTCATGCATGTATGTACTTTTTTTTTTTAACTTAACCATGACCATGCGCATTAGTCCGGCTGATACTCGGGTGATTATACCATATGGATATGGTCTGAATTTTTGTAGATGAATAGTTAGAACCAATATCATTTCAAATATTTTCTGGTTATCACGATTTTTGTTTAAAAATAAAACTACCTAAATTACAACATTTTGTTGTTGTTATAGTTATATACACGGGGTTTTTATCCACTTTATTATAATTAGAATCTGTTATATATAAATGTATTATTTTGAAATTCGTGCTTTGCATAAATGTAAGATTTTTTTATCAATGCGCAAATATAATTGTTTGATATATGATTGATAAATTATTTATAGTTTTATTTTAAATGGTTGACACATGGTTTGATCTTCATTTTTGAACTGCAATATTTGTGCAAGTTGTCTTTCATAACTTTTACTTTAACAGTATTAAAGCCAAGATATGCATATATAAGTATTTTTTATAATAACAGTAAAATATTTTACTATAATTAATGATAATTATAAAAATTTGACAACTAAAATTTAACTTTTTTCCATAAACCATTATTTACTTGAATCATAATCTAGTCAAGACCCATGTAGATTCCAGAATATATTTGTTTGAAGATGGATAATGAAGAGTCTATAGAATATACTTTCTATTTGGTGGTAGTTTTAGTTTTATAGAAAATGTAAAGGAAAAAAATCATGGGACACAAAATGGTACAATGTATTATCCATACATGATCACATATACACGTATATATACACGGTCTCATCTACACACAACTGTGTCTATATACACAACTACAAAGCCTTCACATCCTCAGCTATATCTATCTAGCTACAAATATTATAAAAAAAAAACACAATAAGTTCATTTCTTACTACCAATAAAAATCTTTTTTTTTAATTTCTCAAACAAAACCAACTTGACAACCGACAGCGAATAAGATCAAATAGCTTTCTCTTCTTTTCTCATCAACCAATATACAAATCCATAATTTCTCATTAAATCAGAGCTTGATCCAT